ACTCGTTGAGGTTTTGTAAACTTTGCAACAGAATGGACCGAATGATATTGGAGTGCAAGGCAAGTGGAGAAGTGGACAAGTGAAAGGGCAGCGGAAAGCTGTCTGAGCGGATGTCTCAGCTTGCTGTGTGCTTTATTTACCATACACTGTGTGACATGCATGTATAAACAACAAATACGTCAGTGTGTGTGACGCATGTGGCTGTAATATGAAAATGTCATAAAATATGAACGAGTTGACTTTTGTTGTAAATGACCAACCGAACACAGGCACCAGGAAAAACAGGAGTAAGTGGAAGAGAAAAAACTAAAATGCCAGCGCATGTGAGTAGAAGGCAATGACTGGGTAGTGCCTCGGCGGCTTTTGATAAAGACTGCGTCGCTTAGAACTTTTAGATGAATTTTGATGGCACTTTTTGGTTTATTTTGAATTTGTAATGCTGGAGAAATATGTGGAAAGCATTGAATTAAGGTGCTTGGAACACACATGAGAGTCTCGGCTAGCGGCCGGTCAGTAGTTATAAATGCGAATATTCACACATAGGTATTACGCCATATTGAGTGTCTAAGGCCAGCACTTAAGTCAAATTTATAATCCTCATTGGGATGTGCGAAATGTAACAGTTGGAAACTTTCATAAATTTTCGCAATAAATATGCAAAATTAAATTTTTACAATTGCAAGAAAGCTGGAAGGTAAATTTTCACGCGACCGCTTTTCCACCGCAAGCGCAGTGCCAAGAGCAACCTTCACCCATAAATTCTAATTAACAAGAACACACTTAACAACACTCGATGGCGGGCCATAAACAAACACGCACTCACTTATACACACACACACGCATACTTGAATTTCAAAGAGCAACGCCAAAGAGAAATGCTATTCATAAATTAAGTGCCAAAACAAGCAAGGCTGCCAGTTATAACAACAACAACAGCAGCAAACATGCAACTGGCATAAAAATGTTGGTTGTTGCATTCAACCCAACGTGCCACATGGTTACACGGCGAATGCGGCCATGAACTCAAAGCGCGGCGCGGCAAGTGCATACAAGTGCCGCAGCAGCCACAGCTAGAAAATAATGAAGCGCTATGAGTGCGCCTAGTTGTTGTGGAGAGTACAGTTGACGAGAGGGGCGCATGTAAGAGGACAGCACGTAAAGGGCAGGCAAACGTGTGTAAGGCGAGAAAACGTGAAAACCGCGCACCAGGCAGCTGTAAAGAAGAGCTAGCAACAGCAGCAGTGTAGCGTTCAACGCCATAAACCAACGCAGTCAGGTCACCGCCGCACAAACGCACACACATATCGCACCAGTGTGAGGCGCCGATGGCCATGGCCGTGGCAGTGACAGCGGCCGCAAGCAAAATAAACAAAAAGCGTAGCAGGCAAGCAACCCCAACTTAAGCTGAAGCATAGCAGAATCCCTGCGACAGGACAACGTCTAAGGCACTACTAGTACTAGCGTAAACAGTGGGGGTGTAAAAGGGCAGCGGTGTAAGCGTGTGCTCGCGCGGAATGCGCGCGGCTCGTCATTAGCAAAATGCTTGCAGGTTGCGCGCGAAAAAGGAAATTACAAACTTTACCCCCAGTTATGTGGCGCATGTTGCGCGCATTTATTGCCCAGCTCAATGGCTCACTCACCCACTACCCTAGTCAACGCCCACCCAGGCGCTTACATGCCCGCCAGTTAGCTTAAGCCATGGCGCACAGTTCGCTCTCTCCCCCTCTCAGCCACTCACCCACATTAGTCGCTTCAGTGCGCCGGCAATATATGTGCAACTGTTTTATTTTAAATATTTGTAGCGTATCCACCAAATTAGTACAGTGTAAATTTGGTGCGCATTAACAGGACTTAACCTCTAGACTCTCCTCGAAGTGCGCTAATAAATTGCCGACAATTGCAATTTGGTGTAGTGGAACGCGGGGTATTTGTAAAAAAAAACACATATTAAACAAATAGTAAAAGTAACAAAATTTTGCTAAGTGGTATTAAAGTAACTAGTTGTCTAACTAGTTATAAAAGTAACAAGTATTAAATTTATTGGAAATTAAAAAGAAAAACTCTCAAAAAAGTTGCAAAATTCTAAATATTAAAGTTTACGTGCCCAACTAGTGATCAAACTAGTTTAATAGTAGCCACTTCCGTTACTAGACAGTTAGTAAACAGTTGCGAAAATGTACGCTATGTTACACATGCTCAACTACATTAATTCCTTGCTGGGCATGGCGTTGCGCCTGAGGAGCCACCACAGCTGCGAGCGGTTCGTAGCGCATTCCGTGCAACTTTACTGTTTACGCGATTATATTTATTTATCTATCTTTTTTGAGTGGTCTTGTTTTGAAAATCTTTTTAAAAGCATTTTGTTCAGCATTTTATTTAAACGCCAATTTCATCGTACACTTGTGTGCATTCTGTTTACGTTCGAATAGCACACTAAGTGCTGCCAGCCACGCTAACTGTGCGGTGCCGCTGCCTCAATCGCTTAGCTGAATGAATTGCCGCTAAGTTGCCTGGCTCTTTGTATAAGTTTATAATGTAGAGCGCATGTGTGTGTGTATGTGGAAGGCATATAGTTGCGGGTGTGTTGGCTGACGCGCTGGTTGCGGCTGACTGCCAGAGCATTTTTATGAATGAATGAAATAATAATGCGGTGTCGCTGGCAAATTACGAAATATGTGTTTGTTTTGCACGGGAAGGTACTTTTTTTTGCTTTTACAAATTAATATTACACATTTCTTCTCTTTGATTTTGTTGTATGGCATTACAGCATTATTATATTTGGGTGTGTGAGTGTGTGTGGTTTTCTTTTGGATTTTGCGGTTTTTTCCCATTTGTTGCAGAAGGGATGCACCAGATATCTGTGCGAGTATTCGTGTATAAAGTTATTCTGCGAAATTCGTAGATTCTTCTAACCGGGATTTATAAAGAATGGCTGGAGAAATACTTATGATATGGTTTTAATAAGAATGTTCCTCTTATTGGGGAAATTCATCTTCTTTAGTATTTTATAATCTTTGTTTAATACAACAATTATTGTTTAAGAAGATTTGAGGGCAAACTTTTAAAATTTAAATTTAAAAATTTCTGAAATACAGAAAAAATTCCTAATTTTAAAGGAAAACTGTGAATATGTAATTATTGTTTGTACCAAAAAATAAAAAAATTTTGCAGGGAATTTAACAATGTATAAAACTATAAATATATACATATGTTTGATACACGAGTATATATTATATTTCTATTAAAGTCGACTAGAGGCATTGAGTATAAATTATAATTAAAATTAAAATTAATTATAAAAAAAAATATTAAAAATAAGTAGAAAAGTAATTAAAAATTAGCAATCTTCATACACAAATATATTTCAAAAACAAAAATATGAATTTAAAAAAATGTCGGTTTCAAAAAAATTAAAAAATTAGAAAATAAATTTCGAAACGTTCTTTAAACAATAAATATAATATAATAAAAAAAAAATGTGACAAATATGTTTATCGTTAACGAATTCGAATTGCTTTGCGGGTTTTAAAACATTTTAACGCTGTAATTAAATTGTACTAGTTTTTTATGTATATTTTTCTATTACAATTGAAATCACCAAATGTGTTTTTAACAAAAGTTAAAATAAAATAATACAAATGAATGAGTACTGTTTTCGAAGTGTCAATTGGATTTTCAACAACAGTCTTATTGTTAAATCATAATTGCTTAAATATTATCTTATTTATTTATATCACAAAATTTAAGAATAAAAAAAATATTCTCAAAATTAATTTGACTAAAAGGCGATTACTCATGATTTTATATTATTAAAGATCATGACTCTAAAATTTATGTTTGAAAAAAGCTTTATAAAAAGTCGATATTACAAATTTTTTATCAAAAAAAAAAATGTATACAAAATTTTAATTGAGTTCAAATCTCTAAAATAATAAAAGCAAAAAACCGTATGTTAGAAAAATATTTTATTTGTAAAAAAATAATTATAATTAATAAAAATGCGGGTGCGATTTTTGGAAAATAAAATGCAGAAATTTTAATAATAATATAATAATTTTTACAAATCCATAAATAAGTAAATCGTGTTTTTTATGCGCTGACTATTTAATACTTTTAACTTTAGTCAAATTGGTATATTTTCCAAAAAATTTTAAAATCACAAGAAATTGGAATGCCAGAAATGTACACATATATTTTTATAATACAAGTATATGTATATTATTATATTATATTTTTATCTTTATATTAAATTATATAATATGTTATATATGTATATTATGTTATATTTTTATTTTTATTTTATTATATACATATTTAAATTTTATTATATTACTTATGATTGAGAAAAAGTCGTTTCTTATAAATTAATATTTTTAGCACATTTCCATTTGATATTTTTTGAATAAAAATTATATGATTTTCATACCAAAATAATTTTTTAGAACCGTTCGCCAATTTTCTCCGCCTTTCATTTAAAATCACATCAAACCCACATTATTAAAATTCATATACAAATATTTTTTAAACAGTGCTTAATATTAACCTTTCAATATTTTTGTTTAATGCTAATTAAATAGATTCCTCATGTTGAGGAAGTCTTTTCAAAATTATATGCTAATTTCAAAATCCATTTAATTTTTCTCCTTATATAATGTTACAAAATTGTCACAGAAGGATTAAATATTTTTTAAGCATTATAATTCTCTTAAAAATTTTTAAAATTTTCATAATTAAAAAAAATATTCCTTAAAAATTTTCAGACACATTTTTAATTTCGAAAGCGCTTCCCTAAACAGAATCGTTCACAAATAAAAATGTGGCAATGTTTCAAAAATATTTTACATCTTTAAAAAGTTACACAATTTCTCTAAAATATTTCGCAATATATTTCTTTTTTTAATTTTCAGTTTTCACCTCAATGGTTTTATTCACTATGAATTGTCCTCGAATTATCCACAATACCTAAAGTTATATTCCAGCTAAAAGCTTCTCCAACTCACCTTTTTCACTTGCTAATTTGAATTTCCTCGTACTGATGGCGCCTGTGTGCTTTTTGATAAAAATTAACACACAATTTAAGTTAAAATGTTTGCTAGTTTATTTTTTATATATTCCAACGCAATTTATTTTTTACACTTTCCTGGCAGATTACACTATTGTATATTTCACTTGGGTTAAAGCACCGCAAGGATTGTCTAAAAATACGATTTTTTCGTTCAAAAAGTTCCAAATATTTATTTTACGGTTGCTTATAAAATGACGTTGAACTTCTCACACAGTTTTCAAAATTAATCCATTTCCAGTGGTTGCTGCTTAGGTTATAGTCCTTCTGCAGTTTTTCGTGAACACTGGTCAACACTTTTACACAACACTTTTGAGATTTTCTCTGCAGAAATTTTTGTTTTACACAAAAATTACTTGCAGTAATTTTTCAAAAATATCTAACTGCCCAAAAAGCATTTGCACTAACGCAGTCACTGTTTGCTTACTTTTGTAAAAAAAATAAAACGGTTTTGAAATTTGAAAAATTTCGCAAAATTCTCGTTTATTTGCTATTTTCGTTGGTTAGTTTTTAATTAGCTGCTTTTTTGAAATATTTTTTCGCTAAGCAGAAATCATATATTTGTGTGTACTTTTAAATAAGCAAAAACTGAAAAAAATTGCTAGTTGGCTAGTTGCGACGACCAGCGCTGTGGGCTGTTGGATGTTGTTGACACCACCGCTTCATTTAATTCAAAGAGACTCGAAGTCTCCGCGTCTCTACGCTTATTTATATAGCCTCCGTAGCGCGGCGGCTTGTAGAAAAGCGACAGCCATATACTAATTCCATAAAAGCCAAACGTCGAACGCGCGCGTCGGATGATACACAACAGCAGCGTTAGCGGCAGCAATAGCGGCGGCCACGGCAAATAACACTGCACAGCGAAAGCAGCGAAGATGGACAACAGCGCCGAGAAGCGCACTGTTAAGACACTCAATGTGGCTGTTGGTGATGACGATGATGAATTTGGTTGGTAAGCAATCAGCAAGAGCAGCTGATAGTCAACAAGCGCAGCGACGTTCAAATGTGCGAGTCACGCGCGTGTTCGAACCGCTTCAAACAAACACATAAGCAAGTGCGCGCAAACACAAGAAGTAAGCGAGCATCAGACCAAATGAGTAACAAATCAAACCGCATCGAACACACAGCAGCGCGCGCGTTTGAACGTTTGAGCCGCGCGGTTAGAACGCTGAGATTGCTGACGCAGCTGCAGCGGGTGCTGTTGGTAGCATAGAAGCAGTGAGTTGTTGCAGAGAATAGTGGAAGCACAAATGCAGTTGGGTGTTAGGTGATGAAGCTGGACCTATATATATGTATATGAGTGTGCAAATGCGGGTGTGCGCTTCTGTAAACTCGTGGCAGTTGCGTGTTACCGCATGCCTCTTCGATAGTAGCTGTTGTTACTGCCGCGCTAGCTAAAAGCGCGTTGTTAAAAATTTTATATGTGGATCAAATTATAATAAATTATAAAAAATTTTTTTTGTTTTTTTGTTTAATTAGTTTCAAAGTATCGCAGAAAACGAACGCAATATACGACAACAATTAAAATGCACATATGTATAAAAAGCTCAGCTGCTCTTGGCTTTGACCATGTCCAAAAAACAAAGTCAACATTACACGCAACGGTACCAGCAGCAACAACAACATGCGCGCAACAGCATCACAGCGTTAGCAGCAGCAAGCGTCAGCTTAAACGAGAGAGCGAAAAAGCGCGTGAGCACTAAAACATGCCGAGCATATGACAACCGGCACACTTCGGCTCAAACTCAAACCAAATCAACTTCGTTCGTGTCGCAGCGGCGCTTCAGCAAACGCAAAGCGCTGCCATTCGACAACCAGCCAGCGTCACTGTTGCGATTGTTGTTTGGTGGTCATGAACAAGCCAAAACGAAATGAGCCGGCTTAGTGATGGTCGACAACTTTGGCGTGCACGAGTGAGCAACAGCAATAGCGAGCAACAGCAGCGGCGACGGCAGGCAACTTTGGTGTTGCAACACTTCTTCAACACAGCGCATTGGTGTATGTGTGTGTATGCTGACCGATGGTGCTTGCTGTACGGAGCGCAGCTTGGTTGTCTTGACTTTGCTTTTGGTCTGTATTTTGGCTCATTTTCAAGTTCGTGGTCACGGACGACGCGACAGCGACGATGGCACTGGCTTTGGCTTTGACTGGCGTTGGCGTTGCTGTTGATGATAATGATGTTGCTGCTGGTAAGCGCTGCGCTAGCTGGTGTTGGCGGTCGTGCTAGCAATGAAAAAAAAATTCGCAAAACAACAACAATTACTAAAACGTAGAAGTAACACAGCGAAGAACTAAAAGAAAAGCGCTTGGCTTTTTACCTAAAACAGCAGACGCAAAAGAAGTTGCTACACCCAACAACAACAACAACAAATGCAATACCAAAAAGAAAAGCTGAAAAGAAGTATTGTGCACGATGGTTAGTAGCATGTAAACGAAGCGAAGCAGTAAGAAGTAAAATCAGTAACAAACGCGCTTTAACCGACGAGGACGCAGCAGCCCCCAAGCCAAGCGTTGATCATTTGGCATATGAGGCGGTTGCCAAAAGAGCGCCAAGTCAGAGCTACGAAAGAACATTGAAGATCGTCGTCGACTTAAAAACCAAACAACCAAGCGTCGACCACCGGTCCGAAGCAGCCGTAACGAGCTCGACACGACGAAGAAAAGTAGACACTTGAAGAAGACATGACTTAAATCTAAGCTGCTTCTTCCACAAACTTTGCAAGCATAAAACAATCAAATAAGCCCAGAAAAAGTAAACGCACATATGAGTATACAGACGAGTGAACAGGCGTACTTTCAGAAATACATATACATATGTAATTATGTGTGTACGACATATGTATGTGTGTAAGTGTGTTTGACATGTCTGTCGGTTTCTGCGCGCGATTTCTGCACAAATCTCGTGCAAAACCAAGCAAGACCATCAGCGTCCATCCAAACAACAGCAGTTAGCTGCTGGTGGAAATACACATATATATATGTATGCACGTATGTGTGTATGTATGTTTGTCTGTTCGACCACATGTAGTTGTGTAAGTATGTGTTTAAGTTACCCCAACTATGCTAAGACACGATATACAATACTGTAAAGATAATAACAACACCAAACGACTGAAATAACGCTTACAGCAACAACTTAACAACAACAACATACATATGCACAGAGTTCTGGGTTCCTTGTGGTTTTGTAGCTTTGCAATATTTAGCATATATTTCTGATTTAGCCGACTTATACTCGTGCGAGTTGCCAGCAGGCTCAGTAGTCGCAGCAGTGAGGCTCAGACAATTACATTTCCACAAAACGCTGCAGCAGCAGCATGCGTGTTTGTGTGTGTGTTTTTGCCTCGCAATGTGTTATTTACATTTACCCACTATGGGACGCCGTTAAACAGGTGTCGTCGACGTCGTCGCCACTTCTGGCCACTTTAGTCATTGTTGCCTTCGTCATAGTCACCGTTGTTATTGTACTCGTACTCGTAATCATCGTCATCATTGGCGATTCGAGAATTGGCACTTGTGTGGCCCTTTAAACAATGTACTTATGTACTTACTCGTGTGCTTGGGTAAATAGTTTTCTCCCAGCCGCAAAATGCTGTTGTGTGACGATCACTTCACTCACATAGCACACCCAGACACATGCATATGTATATACACAACTGTTTCATATGTAATTACAATTAATAAATTACTCTTACGTCTTGCGGTGACGATTCATTCATAACAGACGTGTTACTCATTTAAAGTGAAGACTATTATGCACTTTTTCTAGAATTGCAATATAACTGTAAAAACTAGTGTATATTTTTTCATTTTAAATAATTATCAGAGTTTTGCATCTTAGTAGCTAGGAGCTAAGGTTTCCTATCGCATAACCTCAATTTAACTACACAAACCAATTTAAATAGAAAATATTTTACTTCAAATCGTAAAATGAAAAAAAATGTCAACAAATATCTTTACCACGACAACACCTACCCGCCAAGAGTTCAGTTTGAATACTTAAAATTTTATTCTGTCAAAGCCATAACAATATCAAGTGGATCAACTTGATACAAATCTTCTTTTAGCTATCGTAAAATTAAACTTCTTATCAATCAATGCGCTCTCTAGATTGGATAGAGATGTTCTTGAAGCTCTTGAAATCCTCTAATATTTATAGAGCAGAAAAAGGGTTATATATCACCAATATTTCGCTTAGCGATTTGTTTTGCTACTACTACTTTCGTTCTTTACTTTACAATATGATAAAACAAAAAAAAGTTTTTGTTTGTTTAAGTTCAAGGAATCTTCCGTCATTTCTGATAAAATATTGTGGCAATTTTTAGACGCAATAAATTGTCAGTTTACGATTCCTTCTTAGTGGAGAAATTTTTTTTTCCGTGTGAAGAAATGTTTGAGTGGGGTTAGTTTCGTTTTCTATAAACTGTTATAATTGATTTTAAGTCTTAAGTTCTTAAAACCAAAAAACCACAAGAAATTTGTATTTTGATTTACCATTCAGAATAGTAAAAGTGATCTATAATATGCAAAAATAAACTTGGAAACATAGAAGATAGCGGCGGTTATACCACTTTAATGAGGTAACCGTATACTCTCTTGTACGAATTTGACTCAATGAATTTGTTGTTGGTTTTGCATGTAATTTTTTGTCAAGAGAAAAGATACTGAGAGAAATTACGAATCGAAGACTACTTATTACTCCAGTGAAAATCGGTCAACTATAACATAGCTATATATACCATCTTGCATTCATGGTCAACCATTTAAATACCAAGAACAAAAACATATATTTTTTGAAATAAAAAGTTGTGCAAGAATAGACTACTTAAGACAAATAAGGCAACCAATAGGTGATATTTTACAACTAAAATATAAAATATTTTGTTATTAGAAACATAAAATGGTTTCAGCATTGCGGTAGACCACGATTCTACGACAGTGAAGTTAATCTCACAAGACTACTTAACCGGATCGTACTCAAATTCTATTCCTTCTAGGAACTGTTAACTGAACAACTGTTATGTAATGAACAACAATAAATTCGAGTTTTTCTGGGTCTTTATTAAAATTATTCCTCTAACGCATTCTATCGTGAAACTCCACTTTTTTTATATATTATATATTTAATAAAATAAAAATAAAACAAAAATATGCGTGCTAATAAAATTTGGTTTCGCAGTTGACTTATTTGATGGGTTTAATAATAAATTCGGAGTTTGTGGGACCCTAAATCTTAAACCCAAATTTAATATTATCGAACGAAAATGTCCAAATAAACTTGAAGTTTTTTAAACTCGAGTTTACCATTATCGTAATCTGAGTTTACTTCTGATAAAATTTCGCGTCATTTTATTTATCAAAAAATATCAAAATAAACTCGAAGTGGCAATTTCAAAATAAACTTTTTGTTTAACCCAAAATATTAAATTCGAGTTTATGGCGTAACATTATCGCATTATGGGTTTAGTTATTGTAGAAGGCAAGTAGTAGTAAAACTAATTTTTGTAAAGCACAAAACTAAGAAAATCTGAGGTTTGAGAAATTTTTTTTTTTTTTGAAATAAATTTTTGCAATCGAAAAATTGTTAAAAATGCACAACTACCATTCAACGCTACGAAAAAGCACATTTCACATTCTTGACATTTACTTCCCCACTAAAAGCATTTCTCGGTCACTAGCTGAAGAGAAAATAGAGAGTTCAGTAGCAAGCAAACGCTAGCACACGCACTTGTTGACGGACGTCGAGAAACATGTGTACGCAAATACACAAACACACCAACATACATACATACAAACACAATGTGCTCATATGAGCGTACCGCAAGCTTTGCATTAAACAGAAAGAAGTTGGTATGCTGCCACACTCCAAACTAAAAGCAGCTAAGACGCACGAACTTTTTGGCCAAAAGCTGGCAGCGCTGCCACAACAACACACAAGCGCACATAAATAAAGACAATTGCTGAGTGCGAATGCGAGTACAAAAAATACCAAGAAGGTAAAAGCAAACTTATGAAAGAAGACTATATGATTCTTTACTAGTTTGGAAGTGGGGAACCGGTTTTGAACGGGCCAACAAAGCGTTGGTCTTAAGACTTTACACAATTCTTTTTTTATGCGCATTTTAGGTCTTTCGCTTGGCTATTTTTTTGTTTGTCATTTCTTGTTGTTGCTGCTGTGCAGATTTACAACGCCGTTTGCTGGATGGATGGCTAGTTGCTTGTCTGGCTGCTGGATTTTGACCGCTCCGTATAATTAAAGCAAACAACACTCTGCTAATTGTTCGCAATTTTCTTCTATCCAACAAAAACATTGCTAGCTATTAGCTACCAGATTAGCCAGCAGTGAAGAACTTTTCGATGCTGTCTGTCGCTTGTTGCCTATTGACGCTTGGCTCCTGTGCGCAGACATCGCGTATTCGCTTGAACGCCAGCCTAATTTCGATTGCGAAATATATTTTTGTTGTTTTAGTGGTTTTTTGTTATTGTTGCTTTATTGTTGGCGCTTTGTCTTGAAAGTGTTTTACTTTGTTTTACTCAATTTAATTAATTATATTACATTTAATGCCGTCTGGCTACCGTTTTGTCAAGCAAATGACAGCGCACAGAAATGTCAAAGTTATTTGAAAAAAGTCAATTCACTAATTGGCACGCGTTTAAGCGCGAAAACAAGAACGCCACTTTATAGATTTTCTTTTCAAATCGCTATTTATTTTCCTTCGAATACCACTCAACGTTCGCACACTTTGTATATTTTAGACATGCCCCATTTGTTTACACACCACCAACCACTGTGCATTAAATATCGCCAACATACCCACACACGCTCGCCCTTTGGCCGCTGTGTCCACCAACGACGCCCCCGCCACCCCGCTATTACCGCGTTTCTAACAACACAACAACAGTCGGAAACACCCGCTATGCCGTGTCCACACCGGCCTCGTTACCTTGTCGTCTTTGTCTTCGTTAAGCGTCACCGTTTTCGTTGTGGTCGTTGCTGTCCGTCGCTTTCGGCGCACGTTTCACTAATGAACTGCAACATCCTTTTTGACATCCTTGGCAGCGCTTTGCCGGCCGGCCGGCTGTATGGTCTCTTAGCCGCATGCTGCAGCTTCCAATGCCGGCAACCGCACCGCACGCCAGTGCGCATGCCTACCTCGAACATTTGAGCGCGTTGTAGAGATGCCTCAAAGTGTGGCTGGTTGCACCACTTTCTGTGGCCTTTGCTGTCGCTACATGGACAATGTGTGCGCTATTGTTGTTGTCACAGTTGTTGTAGTGCCACCTTGTATCCCCATTAAGCGCTGGCACGTTGCATATTTGCCGGCTTTTGCTGGTCTCATTTCGTCTTTTGCGTCGACTCCAAGTGTTTTCGTTTGGTTGTCGCAGCTGTCTGGCCTTTCGAATGGTCGAGACTGGTCGAGTGGTTGGTTCGACGAGCGGTCGGTAGATTTGTCGGTCGGCTGCCCTGTCTGCGCTTCGTTGCTTTGCGATTTTTGGCAGGAGCAACAGCTTCGAAAAGACGAATTGATAACTCAGCTAACAAACAACAACTGTGAAAATAACAACTGAAATCACAAAAACAAGAGCAGTAAAAAACAATAACAACAAAAATTACAACAAATGAAAATAACAATACAAAAAATACTAGAACAACAAATTAAAACAAAAGAAATGTCAACAACAACAAAAATATATAAGTAAAAAAACAACCAAAATAACCAAAAAAAAGCAACAACAGACCACCAAAAACAAAGCCAAGAAATGTCGCGCAAATGACAATCGCGGCACTCTCGTTACATTGTCGCCCAGCCACCCGCTCTCATCCCTTTTCGCAATTATGCACGTACCACGCTAAGTGACACTTAATGCCGGTGTGTGGTGTGGTGGCGTCGATTTTTGTGGCAGTCATTTTCGTTAGTCGTCCGTACATTTCTGTTCCGGGTGGCCGTTCATTTGACCTGCTCTCTGATAGTGGTGTAGGTTAGCTTGGAATTTATTACAGTTTCTCATTTATTTCAGATATGCATGTCTGCATCAGTGTGTGTGTGTGTGTGCAATAAAGTGTGAACTGCGCCGAATATTTATTTGGTGGAGGTCATCATTATGTTACAAGTGTGGTGTGTTATACTTCCCAGCGTTGAGTGACAAATTTTAATTGAATATTTATCGATGCTTTTAAGTAGTTTCTGAGAAAGCACGATTAATTATATTATTATTATTTATTTTCGCGGGCATAAAATGCAGATCCAGGTTGAGAAGAGAAACTTCTCGATGGTGCTGTGACCAAGAGTGTGGGAAATAATATTCAAATCATCAGCTTATTTTAGTTTAGAAGCCGAAAGGAAAAGTAAGACTTGTAGTCATTATGTTTTTTGCCTAAGTCTGTGAAGTTTATGAGTATGTATGGCTGAAACCCTTCAGTATATAGTATAACTTGTCTAAATGTTGATGTGATTAATTGCTGTTGAAAGTTTTAAAAGTATTATTATAGTTATTAAATTCGTTGTTAGATTTGAACCCAGTTTTTCAATGGTAAAAAAATAACCTTCAGACAGTACTTGTGTTAACGGACTTAATTTGAACAAGATCAGCTTCTGATGTCTTCAAAGCATTTAAAATAGATGATACATATGCTTTCGAAGATTAAACTTTGGCGAATTTCTAAAATATTGCTTGGGTCGTTGCAATTGTGACTTTTCAAACTGACATCGTTTACAAGACTAAGTAAAATATTTTAGAAAACTTTAGTTTTAATAGTTTGAAATATAGGTATCATGATTAAAAATATTTACTAACTTAACGCGATATGTTTATAAATGGGTTGTCTACCTTCACGGTTAAAAAAAAAGTATTTCTTTTTTCTAATGAAGACAGTGCTAGAAATATATAATCTATATGGGATTTTATCGAAAGTATGTCGGCTTACAAGATATCGAACTTAAAACCCGATCCGCGTAGCCTCTTCATGTCGGTCTGTCAGCTTTAAACACGTTTTCCGTTTTTAAGTTTTGGCACAATTCTGACAAATTCTCTGTAAATTGTTGCTGATTCATAAAATATCTCGATATGTTTGGATTTTTGTTTTTTAGTCTTTTTTATCTGGAAAATACCGTATCTTTTTATTATTAGTATTTATTTAAACCGCTGCAATTTTAAAAAATTTTAAAATAATTTTAAAAAAATTAAGGTTTGCTTTCTACTCATAAGTGTGGTTACAAACATTAAGTAAGATTTTTTGTTTTTTTATTTCAAGGTTCTGAACCTGAAACAAGAGGTCGGCCACGCCGTATCGGTAGTGGTGCATTCAAGAACGCGAGCTTGGTTTAAAAAAAAATTATTGCTGTTTCTTTTCTATAACAACGTTTTAGAATTAAAAATAAAAATATAAATAAGTTTATTTAGACTGATATTTTTGTCAACCTTAACATACCCATTTGGAGTGCTATGACCTTCTATCAGGAGGCAGCTCTGACTTGAAACGCGCCTCACACTATATATAGGAATGATCAACAATGTCCTAAATAATTTCGCTGAAGCCTGTAAATCACTTTTACTTCGTTCCTTAATTTATTTATTCTCAATTTGTAAGGAATAGGTAAAGGCAAGTTTATCACAACGGATTTAGTAGTGTAATATTTTTACAACTCGACGAAATGCGCCTTACGCATGGCTTACTTAGGTCTCAAATAGCAAAAGTAATATGGATCAGAGACTCACCAACTTTAAATATCAATTATCCAATTCAAATGTAAGTGAGACATCTTACAGAAATTTTTTTGTAAGTAAGAAATGTTGTATTATATGGGCACAGCACTTATACATATCCTGTCGTGCGAGATGACGGCAAAAGGATACAGCCCATCAAAGTCAAAGTGCGGTTTAGCAGCTGCGACATGACGTATCAGTGTAGCAGTCAATTACAGGTGAACTTCAAATCAGAATCGCACACACACACACATAAACCAGATATTGAATGAGAACTTAAATCGGAGACAGCATCTGGCAAATAGGTGCCATGGCTTGAATTTAATGCCATAAAGCCATAGAAACGGCGGCCACACACAAGCACAATCAAATCTGGCAGCAAATACATGTATGTATCTATGTATGTATGTACGTATGTGTGCCTTATTTATACACTTAATGCGGCGATGTCGACTCACATGCTCTGCACCAGTTGCTCCGGTGACCATGACCGCTGTGCAATTAGCGTTGTTAAGGACAAATGTAAGCCTGCGAAGTACTAAATTATGAGAT